CCCTGCACCTGACTGCATTTGCATAAGCAGGCGCTTAAACAACTGAGCTAACCGGAAGGCCCTCACATCTCTTTTCTAGTCAACTGGCTTACTCAGCCCAAGAATTCCTTCTATTTTCTATTCTGGTTTTCTGCTTGTTTTTAATCCTGGCTCAAGCACTCTTCTTACTTTCCAATCAAACTGGTATTAACTGTATTCTTTAAGACAACTCAAATACTAACTCATTCACAAATTTTTCCCAGATTGCTTAATGATAGTAATACATAAGAAACAGTACTTCTTTTCTTATCATTTAAAAGTAAATACATATATAATTCAAAAATAGTATCCTTTAAAAACTTACACTAAAATAGAACATTCTCAGGCCCCCCATTCACTGCACTTTGATTACTACCATCTCAAAAATAACCATTTTCAAATTTAACCTTTCTTCTAGTATTTGATATTTTTCTTTCAAAAAATGTTACTTTTTCTGCTGTGATTTTTCTCACTTCCTTAAAAGTTTAGTCCTCTTACATTATCTGTCACCTTCTTTCCTCCCAACATATGCTTTATCCTTATTTCCATTTTCCAAATATACTTTTATCACCAATATATTCCCTCAATAGTTTTCTTAATAACAGCACCTATGTTATGAGGTTGAGTGTGTGTTCAGCACGTAGGAGGCCCTAGCTTCAACCCCTCACATAAATAAATAAATATTCAAAGTACTCTTTTGAGAATATCCTCAATTTACCATGTACCAAAATGCCCAAACTCTCAAAAATAATTCTTCTCACCATGTAGACACAATCAGGAATCAACTAGATTCATTCTGTTTCTCCAAGACATTCCTAAATCACATTGATGTCCTCTTAATCTAGGTCAGACTGATATGATCTGTAGTCAATTATCAGAATCATATATATTTGATTCGCTTGTCCCTCTTACTTGCTCAGGTTTGTCTGGCACAATACTAATGCTAGTTATAAGGTCTCGAGTTCGATCCCCAGTACCACAAAACAACAACAACAACAACAACAAAAACCAAAACAATGCTAGTTAAATTCCACTCTCCATGAACTCCATAGTTGTACCATGCTGAAAAAGAAAAGCACCACATCCCTTCAAGTTCACGACTGCGGCCAAAGTGTGCCTTTGAGGCTGCCAGGAAGCATGCTGTACTTTTCCTCCTAAGCTCTCCACATCCTCTTTTTCTTACTCTTCACTGATGAGCACTGACACCTCTATAAAAATACTGAAGCAATGCAGTGTGTCCAGACTATGGCTACCATATACACTTTTGGCATCTGCAACTAAAATAATTCTAAAAACCAAACACAAACTTACATTTTCATTTTCAAATGAATTTTCTAAATATTTAAGATAAACAGTCTTAATCTTAAAACTCCTTAAAAATGAAAATCATAAAATTCCTAGGACCTATATCAACTGTCAAGACATTAGGAAACAATGTGTAATAAAACAAAATCTGCATGATAAAATTTAAATTAGATTAGCTATAAAATACATTTCCTTACCTCAGCATTTCTAAAGGATTTGTCTCATGAACTTGGTTTCCACACCTGGGACAATCATTACTATCTTCAAAGTGCTGAACAATACAAGTCTTACAGACTGAAAAAAAAGAAGGTACTAGGTTAAAATGGATCATCTGTATCACTTAAGTAGATGCAGTCCTTAAAACATTATCGAATACGGTAGTATACTATTGTTTAATCAAATTTCATAAAATTTTAAAACTGTAACACCATAGTAAAACCCAAGTGAAATGAAAGCCTAGGGCTGTGACACAAAAAAAATCCTACTTTGCTTATTGCTTTTATATTCACAAGCCATATAATACTTCAGTCATTTTCCTTTTAAAAACTAGTGCATTTATACAAAAGAAGTATTTTTCACTTAAAGAAGTAGGGCAGGGAAAAATAACGTTTAAGATTTCCTTTACCTCTTTTGTTAGAAAATTCGTTTCAATGTGACATAGTTTTTAACAAAACCTGAGTCTTCAATATGTTTGTTTCACTCTGGTAAGGCACTCTCCTGGGACAAGATGGGAGCTACAGTAGATTTTCGGCCCTTTGCAGAGAATGCTGGATCTGTACTTATAGGAACTAGAATTCCATAGAGTCAAAGGCATAGGAAGCAGAGTGGATTAAGACTCAGGACATATGAGAACTTGTACTGTAATGTCATGGAACTTGGTAGTGTCCCAAATTTTCTGATCAAGAAGATTATGGGGCCAAAGAGGAAAGTGATCGATGATGTAGAGTGTCCCTAAGGAGAGTCACATGGACAGAAAACATTCTCTCGGGCTTTCACAGAGAGCACATTGGCCAAGCAATGGCCGTGACTCATCCACATGGCTGCACTGACAAAGATTCTACAATCTGAGGTACAGGATCTCAGCATAAATCCTGAGGGGATTTCATTGACCTTGGCAGACTCAAAAGCTACAACTCTTGTTGCATAGGTCTTGCTTTACTTGGTCTTAACCATCCAGCAGAAAAGTATAAAAACGAAGTATAAGAAGTAAAGCCATGCTGTTATGTTGAGCTGTAGGGGACTCAGGTCAACAATTTCTGACACTGCCAGTGAAGCAGAAGACCCAGTACTATTATTATGGACTACTGGACTCTTTTAGAATATTTTGCTCAGTTAACACACCTATAATATTCAAATAACGGAACTAAACAAAAAAAGGGGATACAGATGAATGTCCATTTTGTATCTGTGTATTCAAAATGGTTAGGATAGATATATAGTTACATTCTCTTAATGAATAGAGGGATTTGTTCTAATGGTGTCTGTAAATAGGATATCATGTCCGCATCCTATACAGCAATTAACCACTAGGAAGAATGTATGCAATGTGTTAATTATTGAAACTGTCGTACCAATTTGGTTTGAAAACTGTCTCATTGCTATTTTTTCTCAATAAAATTATGGGGAAAAAAGGAAGTAGAGTGGTACAAAGGCATGACAGAAGAACAGAAATTGGCAAAAATAATAAAAATTTTAAATTAAGATTTCGTACAAAGAAAATGCATATATGACTGGTGATCTGGGGTCATCGCCTGACACGGTCCCACATTTCCTCCAACTAATATTAATTTCTCTGGTTATGAGAATGAATCTCTTTCACCTTTTATGTAAGTTTCTAATTACATGTTATGTCAATTATCTTGCCCCCCAAAACATTCATACATTTATAGATTGTGAACTATAAAATTTAAATCCAACTCCCTTTCCTATACTCATTAATACCCTGTATAATCTGAAATCTTCAGCAAGACATCAAGATATATCACCTTTCATAATTTAATTTTAAAGTATGCCTTTCCCCTTCTTTATCTACAATTTCAACTACCTTAGTCAAGTGTGAAGTTAATCTCAATAAAATTAATAACAAAAAAAGTGAAGCTATAATTCCTACAGTGAGATTACATCTGAAAAATCCAAACATTTTATATACTGGCTACAGTAACAGTGATCAGGAAGAAATCTAGCACACCTTTAATTTTAAAATCATTTAGTCTACATATAAAATAACAGCTTTTGCTTTACAAATTTATTCACTGATTTGACAGGCGTTTGTTGAATGCTAGTCATCATACTAGACGATGCAGGGGTAGACAAAGGCCAGGATGTTATAGAGCTTACAGCCTTCTTAGGAAGGCCAGCAAATAATTTCAGTTCATGATGAGTGGTATTTTTATCTCATTATCTACCTCAAAAAGGTAGACAGAGCTTGGGGGCTGGCAGGGACACAGAGCAATCTGGAAAGGCCTCCCTGAGAAGGTGACACTTAACCAGCTTTGTAAAGGAGTGTATTAGAATGTCACACTTTACTTTCATTGTTCCATCAACAATTTAGGACAACACACTCCCACCCTCACAATAATCTCCAAATTTACGTGAAAGGTAGTATGAGAAAACATGTTTCAAAAGATAGCTAGCTTAAGGTTACCATTTAGAACTAAATACTTTCTCTGGCCCCCAAATCTCTTGATCCCCCAAAATGATTTTAAGTATATTTTAACTAATTTTTTATTTGGGGGCAGTATTGGGGACTGAACCCAAGGTTCTTACACCAAACTACATCCTCAGCTGCCCACCACCACCATTTTTATTTTGAGATAGGGTCTCACTAAGTCATTAAGTTACCCTTGTTGGATCTGAACTTGCAGTTCTCCTGCCTCAACTTCTCAGAGTGCTAGATCACAGGTCTACTATCCCCAGGTTCTTTTTAAAAAGTCAAACTAATTTTTGAGAAGTTTGCTTTGTTATGCCACACTGAAATGGAGGACAGAGACTTTGAATCTGTTTGGATTGCTGGCATTTGCTTTTTCCAGGGATCCTACCTAAGCCTCAGAAATTTGACAAAGGCTGAAAAAGAGATCCTGATCCTGACCTGGAGTTTCAATCCTTGTGGTTCAAAGCTTTATATAGTCAAAGGACTCAACATCCCGTTGTTATTTACCAGCCTTGACCGTAAACAGAGGTGCATGTCATGCCCCGAGCAAACACTCACTTAGGTTAGCCAAAAGTATCAGAGCAGTGCAGTTTTAAGAATAAACTAATTGAGGCCAACCTAACACTAGTACCTAAGAACACTGACAGGGATACTGGTCTACATTTAGGTGAGGAATGCTCAATACCATAGCCCCCAGTCCCGTGTGGTAATGAACACTTAACATGTGGTTAGTTCAAGCTGAGATGTGCTATAATTATTAAAAATCAAAACACTAAATTTAAAATACTACTAAATAAACCTTCAGTAATTTTTATGATAATTACATGCTGACATGATCAGTTTAGAAATACTGGGTTAAATATATTACTAAATTCACTTCTTTGCTTAAGTAGCTACTAGAAAATTTTAATTTATGCATATGGCTTACACTTCATTTGCATTCTAAATAGAGATAGAACCTTCTTTCAAGAGTTGACCATATTTGTTATACCAATATATGAGATACAGAACTTTATTGTACTTTAGCAGATGAAAAAGGAGATGTCTCCATTAGGCCAGGTCACCTGCCTGCTCTGAACGGCAGCACAGACTCAAGTCCAGACTTTCTGATATGAACTAGCATAATTTTTTCCCCAGAAGCTATGTCTAAAAACTACTTCTCATAAAAATGTCTTATTCAGATAACTTTTTAAAAAATGTTAACCAACATAATATTTTTTACTGTTTGTTCAGATAATCTGGTAGCAGTTATCGTCAGTCATAAATGTGTATAAAAGAATTTACCTGTCTGCCACCATTGTCATATGTGTGCATATGCCTTAATCAACATATTTAAATCAACACAGTCTAGTAATTTAGTCCACACTACTACCCTATTAAGCTAGCATTCTCAGGTCTCTTACAGATGAAGAAATTAATTACAGAACTTTAGCAAGTTGTCTAAAGTCACGAAGCCAGCATGAACTAAAGAGGAATATTTGAATCCTGAGTCCATCTGTAGTCTGCTGGGTATGATAGTTGTGTTTATAATTTTATTTCTATAGATCCCTGAATAAGAATGCCTTATACATTAATTTGGAAGCCTTACACAATTCAACTCATAGAATTAGATCTTTTTCTAGCATATTCTGTACAAAATACTTCTCTTAGGTATCTTCTTTATTCCTTCAAAAAATAGTAACTCTAGAGACTGCATCACCCACATGGATTTTAAAGGCCATTAAATAAAGTACAGCCTCATATAAATTAGACCTCAGGAAATCCAACCCAGAAGTTCAGTAAAACCTAGAAGTTTAATAAAACTTAAAAAACACCAAGAAAGATTTCATTTCCCTTGTTCTTAGCTTAGAAAACTTTTCTGCAGCAGAAAACTGACCTTTGAATCCTACTTTATAATTTGAAATCTATACCAATAGAAAAAGCACATTTAAAATACACCTTAAAGACTTAATGCCAAGTTCTCTAAACGCTCAACTGCTGCACTGGTTAACTCACCTGGTCCCAGAATAATGTTTAAAAGGTTTTACTCGTCTCTAGTTAAGACTATGTATGGAGACCAACTACAGTCTTCATTTCTCACCAGATTCTGTGGCGAAAGATGCTACAGCCACATAAAACACCAGGGTGAGAAATGAAGTTAGGCTCACTGAGTCTTTTTTTTTTTTTTTTTTTTGCAGAACCGGGGATTGAACTCAGGCCCTGAGCTACTCCCCTGCCCCTCACCACGTCTTTAATAACAAATGCTAGCATTTACTGAGCACTAACCATGTATCAACCTCTGGGCTCAGAGCATTATATGGTTCATAGTACAGCCTCTGACAAATGAGGAACACAAACACAGCACTGGAGGGAGTCTGAGCAGGCAGTCTCGGGATGCCCACTGTGTAGGCAGTGCAGGCAGAGGTGCCCTCATTCTTGGGCTATGCAGCTCCAGGCTTAAAATCCAACCCACTATATAATGTACCTTAGTATGAATGAAATTTAGTCCCAAGCATCAAAATTTCATGTCTTTAATTGATCTTCATATTTAGTTTGTCATAAATATCAGTGTTCCTTACCTTCTACTGTTCTTTCCATTTGAACAAGGTTGTTCCATAAATTAACAGAAAAATGGCCACTGTATCATCTAAAGCAGCTTTTTTTC